CCAACGAAAAGGCCTCCCTCGGATGACGACAACTACCCAAGGAGCGGTCTCGTGGGGGACCTGTTACTTTGTAAGTCGGGCCTAGATCTCCACTTGACGTGCGGTTACGCGTTTGGCACTACGCTACCATCTCTTGACTTCTCGAGCTTTGCTTATGGGGACAAAGCAGTAGCCCTGAAAAGGGCCGGTGGAGGAGTCGCTTTTTTGGTTAGCGGATTTCGAAACCCCGAGAAGTTCGCCTTCCACCGACGAAGACTAGCTTAAAATGGCCCTGAAAAATACCGGTGAAGGAATAGTTTTCTCGGCTAGCGGATCTCGAGACTCCGATGGAGTTCGCCGCACGCCAAGGAAGATTAGCTGAAAGTGACCCTGAAAAGGATCGATGGTTAGTTCACTCAGGTTAGGAGAAAAATTACTCAGAAGGTTAAGTTGCCCAAATAAATACTTTCATTGTCGTGCTCGAATTGAGAAAACGCGCTCCTTTATTCGCTTTAGTGGAACTACAACATGCCAATCAGAATCGAGTATTGACTAAGAAGGGGTTAGTTAAATTGCGCTTGGAGAGAGCCAGTGCGCATCAATCAGAATTGAGAGGGAACTAAGGAGAGGATTATTAGAGTGTGCCAGCACCCACTAATCAGAGGCATGCCAGGGTTAAAGAATAGAGCTAACGGTAGTGGCCCTGAAAAAGGTGGATGTTAGGAGAAGAGGAGATACTATATACAAGCGATATTTGTGTTGATAACAGTCTGAAACGTGTTAGAACTCCTAGCAATGATTTAAGTAGATCGGGGCCAGTGTCGAGCATGTCATTCAAACTTACACCATTGGTCTTTTCCGCCGAGTCATGAACTGGCCTAACTTTATCTGGCTTATTTGGATTTTCGACGCAGAAGATTTAATGGTAACAGTGAAAAAAGAAGTTGTTGCATTCTTCTCAACTTTCACCGCGTACCCTTTGTCAATCCATTTATCTATATATCTATCTATGTAGGAAGTATCCTTATAAAATTTTTTTGTGAAGTTTGGTACTCGATCTAACCGTTTCTTTACGTGTTGAAATGTCGTGCTTCGTATCAATCGATTGCCCACGCTTGAGTGTACCACCGCGGGTAGCTGCCGTGGATTTGGCCTGCTGCTTGAATCTGCGAAGGGCCCGCTCTCTCTTGCTCGCAATTACAGCACAAATCGTACGATCTGTGCGAGTCGGTCACCGAAGAGCGACTGGTCCCAAAGCGGCAGTAGTACGTCACTCTACCCTTAGAATGCGTACGTGCGCAAAGCCTATAACGTTTGATGCCCCAAAGCAATCGGTTTTTATTCTGAGCGTACAGACAATACTGTTAAATGCGTCAGAAACATCGAAGGTAGTCGTTACTTCCTCTTTGCGAGTAAATGTTACGTCTACTGTTAAGTCAGTTACGTTAATTTATCACAGCAAGACTAACCATGGCGAAAACTAGTTTGAAATGGGGAAGAAGTTCGTTGTGTTACATCGACCATCCAATCGATATTTAATAAAAGCTTCAAAAACTTTGCAACTATAAAAAGTGAGGCAATCGGTTAGTTTCTATTTCGATCGATTTTGCTATTACGTATAAGGAAGAGTGATTCCATGTTTCGGGAAAATCGCTGTCGCGGAGCAGCGCGTTATATTATAATATAGAAGTTCTAGTTTATATTTGAGAGGTATAATTTTGAGTACTTCATGATCTTTACTATTAATACTCAACGCAATCGAATTGCTATATTGGGAATGGGTGAGCAAGTAACAGAACACAGTTTCAATTATTGACAACAAGAAGGCCCGTCTGAGTGGTTTAATTTTGTTCCAGTCCGAATTCTATCAGGAGACAGGATTGAAGATTTTATGTTTTGCAATATTTTATTATGCGGCGTAACTTTTTTTATAGTTTCAAAGGTAGTCTCTATAAAAAAATTATATTTATTGGCTGCTGAAAGCTTGTCAGCTATTATAAATTAATTGACGCAGTAAATGAAAACTCTGCTTATAACGAGTGTAGGCTAATATACTAGCACACTTGTAATTATACACACAACAGTCGACAGCAAAAAAATACACGTCTACAACGTTAAACATTGAGCGGGCGACTAATAAGATTCTTATATTTATTTGAACTTTCGACTCATTAGATACAACAAATCTCAATTTCTACGTTATTCCTATATAAAAAACGAACTCCTCCCTTCTCATTTCACTGCCGGCAACTTTTCTTCTTAGAAGTTTGATGTACTTTTAATGTGGTTTCTTCGCATTGCAATTCTTTTCTTTTAGTTTTTCGCTTAAATCATATCTTACGAAGAGCAATATGAATTTAATATTCCATAAATAACTATCGATCGTATAGATAAAAATATTACAAACTGAAAATGAAAATAAAAATGTAACATTCGTTGTAAATTTTTGATAATTATTCAGTACCCACAGTAATTGATTTATAAAATCTAATAAACTAAGAAGGCATATTTATATTGCTACTGTTTTAACCAAAAATTTTATTTCTTAAACAAAAACAAAATTAAAATTAAATTTCGTCAAAATGAATATTATTACATGTTCGTAATCAACTTTTCACATCTGAATGCTTATTATAATAGTAATTAATATAATTAATACTATTGTATCTTCTTATTAACTTTAAAAGAAGTACAATATTCAGATTGTATCGCTGGTAACGATCGAAAACTTCGTCGGTATTTTTGAAGCTATAAAAAACAATACATACAAATTAGAAAAATCATCAGGACGCAAAGCTAGGACGAAGTCATACATACAAAACATCATCGAGTTTCAGTTATGAAGTCACGTGTCCATTATCATGGCAAAAAATCGGCGCAGAACATTTTTCACAGCCCGTACAGTCGTAAAGGGCCAAAAGAAAGAAGGATCACGTGTAAATACTTCTTGTAAAGAGCATCATTGCGAATAAAAGTTTTAGAGCACTACATAAAGATTAAAGGGCTTCTTTTGTATGAATATTTTTCACTCTATCGAATGTGAAGGATGAAATAAAAAGAACTAATGTTTTATTACAAGACTTGTGAAGTTTCTATTGCCGTATCATGCTATATGTTCTTTTACAGCAGATTTTGAACAAGTAACATTTTTATGATATTTTATACAATACTCTTCGTAATTTGTTACGTAACAGGGAAATACAAAATTTGTTAAATGTAAAAATATTTTATAAAACCGTCTAGTCAAATCCAAACTCGTAAACTATTTAATTCTCTGCATTGTATTTTAACTTTGTACCAAAAATAAATACAAAACCAAATCAATATTTAGCAAAAATCTTTCCGTCTACTTTGGAAACAAATACAAACAGAAAACTAGGAACGATAAAAGGGCTATCCACGAGAAATCGAATTTTGTAATGATTTTATAGCTGATTCGACTGGTGATTATCCCAACAAACTACTGGGGAATGTAAGTTTTGACTCAATACAGTATTCGAATAAAATCACGACAATAGAAACAACGTCGAGATGTCATCGAGATTCTCTTAAAAGCATATGGCCATAAGTCATGTGTGAAAAAAGTTTCATTGTTGGCTCAACTCCAACGCTTTTGCTCTCTCTCTCTCTCTCTCTCTCTCTCTCTCTCTCTCTCTCTCTCTCTCTCTCTCTCTCTCTCTCTCTCTCTCTCTCTCTCTCTCTCTCTCTCTCTCCCTTTCTTTATCCCTACATTGCATTTGTAAAAGGTGTAAATTTATTAACACGATGACCTGATAAAAGCCCATCCTTCTCTTGGTTTCATACTCGCACTATTTGTCTTTATTTGCTATCGGCATATTGCAGCGATGCTTTTTCTGTTGCCAATGCTACGAGTACCAATTGCGTTGACGGATTGTGCAGAATAAAATATAGCGGCTTATATTTTATTGGTTCACTTTTCAGCGTATTCTACAAAATATACTTATAGCAAATATAACTATATTTCACATAACCCCTAGTAATGAAAGTATCGAAAACTGTCCATGCATAGTATATTAAGTAATATTTCATTACTAGTGACCTGATATATAAATGAAACACTAACAATACACATCGCAAGAAAAGAAGTAGTGATACATAGCACTCGTTAACGTCTTGCTTCTAACATTTACATTTTGCATATTCAACTTTTCTGTACAAATCAATCTACTCTTACTTCTGAAATTGAGGCAAGTCATTCGATAGTTCTTTTTCATAATAATAATACTATACCGGATATTATGTGAACTTTCTTTATTCATAGATTCACAATGAGTTTTATAGGCAAGGTATTAGTTGTCCCAAATATTATCAAATTATATAATTTTAGGAATAGGTTAAAATAAAATACTTAAATTAAAAGATAAAATTTTTACATCTAAATGGTAATATAGTACAAGGCAAATAGTAAATATACTCATATGATTATAATTACATATAAATAGGAATGTAATAATTCAATTATTAAACGAGAACTATAGATTTAAGTTTGAAGTGTTTATATTTAATTTGTAGGACAAATCATTTCGCGGTACTAACTATTTAAATTATGTAGTTCAATTAATTTACTATGAAAACTCCAGAGAGCAATGTATTATCTAGTTAATGCTAGTTACGAAAGAGAAAATTTTAATCGGCACACATGCTACGCATACATAAATAGATTATGTGAGGCTTCAGTTGATTTAACGTAAATGCAATGAATACCATATCGATTGCCCCAAGCGAGCTTCAATCATAATTATATATGTATTTTGCAAAGTACCTTGTTCACTGTTCAATACATTAGGATTAGGCTAAATGTGAAATTATAGATTTTCATTTACACCGCATTTGAACCGCTTATCAAAAGATATTGATCATTTTTCTATTACACTATCTTACTTGACCGGTAATACTAACTTTATTACTGCAATCGACACTAGGAATAGAATTATTAGACATTCTTCAAACATGAAACACCTCTTAAACTTCTATTTCAATAGCTACCAATTATTGCATACCTGTTTGCGAATACGTTGCTGAGAATAGAACGAGACAGCTATAGATCAAAAACCACATGGTTGCCCTGGAAAAGTTTGGTGAACGCGTGGCGCGCCCTTGTACTCCTCTAACCCCACTCCCAGGTTTGTGGAATTGTAGAGTTCATCTGCAAATAGATAGTTATTTTCCATTATTATTAATAGAAGAAATCCTGTTCTGGATACAATAAGTATCCATTTTCGGAATCTGCTTAAATATTAAAAATATTTCATTGATACTAAAAATTACAAGCAGTATATTGCTTTCAAGTCAATTAAAAAAATATTCAAGTACACAGTGATAATTTTGTTGAGTGGAGCTTGAAATGAATGATGCATTCGCAAGCAACTCGTATATTCAGGAAATCAATATCGAAGCACTCGATGAAAATCAAAGTTAGCAATCCAAATTTAAAACCTGCATAATTATGCGAGCGCGGCATTCGACTCACAATTTAGCTTAAAATCCTCGATCTACCAAATCCGTACGCCAAGCAAATTTTGATTTTGGTGTCACATAGGTTGTCCTTAACGAGACGCGCCATAGCGCAGCTGCTACCTGGGCGAAAAGCGGTAGCAAGAGGAAACAGAGAAAAAGCAAGAGCATCGCACCCGCAATGGACGATTCAACGCGCCCGTGAATTATTTATACCAGTAGCGTCACGTTCGCGCCAAGTCGCATTCGTATGGTACAACGCACAACACCTTCAGGCTGTCTCTCTGTGTTTTTCAGGTCACAGGGACATGACGTTTCCTCTGTCTTTCACTTTCTCTCTTGTTCTATTTCAACCCTCGGCTTCCGGTGTCCTCTAGCGTTGTTTGTGATATTTAATGCTAGACGAGAAGCAATGTTTTTGGCCTAGTTTCTGCGCACGGAGTACGCGATAATAAAACTTAAAATTAGACCAGTCTGAATTCATATAAATATCACATAGTTACCTTTGCTAAATATTTTGTCAATCTTACTATAAAAATTTTCTGCAATATTTTGTTTAAGCGTAAAAGTAACAGGATAACAAGAGTTACTGTGCGAAATCTGCAACTCACTGAGATCCCGTCAAATTTAAGAATATTAAATTAAGTAACGTGCTTGTAAACACCACCAAAAAAATATTTCTTAAAAATATAGAAAATATATTTTGCAACCCCATTTGTGATAATGTGCTGTTGCATGACACAAGCTGATATAATTTTCCGGTGCTCGCGTTCTGAAAGATAACAACGGCGAGTTGCACTCTTAGAGCAGGACGCAGCCAAGCTCTAAAATACTTAAAATACTGCCTTTATGATACATTTATGCATATCGGAGTGAGTGCAGCAACGTTTTTCATCAAGGAAAACAAGAGTGGGGCGAAACATCCGCTGACCCATTTCCTCGCTTAATTACTCGTTGGGGTCTTCGTTGTGGGGAAAAAATGTGACAGTAACATCGTTAATAAGAAAATGTAACGCTTGATGATTTAATGAAAATTTTATAGCCAGTTTTCACAAGCAATACTTTCATGGTATTCTTACTTTCAGTTAATATTTTAAAACCTTGAAGATACATTTAATAATTATTTATAAGGTGAATTTTAGTGACAAGACTAATAATAATCTATGAGTTGAAAATTATAAATGTTTACATTTATTTCTTAAATCTTAAACTCGCACATTTTGGCAACGGTCTTCTGGCTGCATGTGAGTAGCATAGGTATTTCGGAGCAAAGGAGATTGCAATTCCGAGAGACTTAGTTTTTAAAATTTTTCCTTATCTTCACAGAAAAGGATTATTAAAGATTTCTCTTTTTTTCTGTTTATTTTTGGTGTATTTATAGAAATAAATATAGCCCACCTTCATATTAGCTTTGAATTTATTCCAAAACTTGACTTTTTTTATATTTTAAACTAAACTTACCTAAATGAATGAAAAAAATTCTGGGCTTTTAAGTTTTTACTGATATTTAATTTTATTTTTACTTTAAGTCAATTTCCGGTTTTTTCACACATTTCAATTACTCAGGCAAGAGCGTACATGTTGGCAGGCTTACTTTTTCCGCATCAGCTCTCCGCAATAACGTAGCTAATTATTCAATTCTGACGCTAATGACGCGACCGAGTGTAAAAAGTGCACTCATGTTGAGAGCTGACGTTTAATGTGCCTACGCGAGAATATTTTAATCGTGTAACTATTTTAGCTTCTCTGTTTTTCCACATGTTTAAATGAATTCCAACCGTTGCAAAAGTTGTGGGTTGGGCAAGATTTACATTATATTACGCGGTGAAATGGAATTTTGATTAACCCTAACGCGATACATCGCAAAATATTTGGAAGTGAGAACTTGTTTTCATGCAAATCACGTTGTACGCATTGAGATGAGTAAATTAAAAGCAAGTGACGCCGAGCTTTTGCGAGTTAATTTTAATTGGATAAGCATATGCCGAGACCACAAACAGATTTATTTATCATAAAACATCCATGATAAATAAATCTATTCGTACATTATGCCCGTTATTTTAAACTAAAAATATATAAGAAATATTTAATTACAATCTACTGAAGTATATGGTTATAAACAATTAGGATTGTAAACAATTCAAATATTCTGGAGTGGAGTTACACGTATTGACTTTGTCTCTTTCGTGCAAATGATAATCCTACATAATGAAATTCCTGAAACCTACAGAATAAAATTGTATTTTTTTTCTTGAACAACACACGTTGATACTAGGTCTGCAAAACAATCCCCCCCTAACAAATTGATAATTGTTAAGTACTTTTACTTGAATAAATAAATGCTGACTCAATTAAAATGACAGAATAAATTATTTATTTACAAGAGTAACACTGATGTTAAAGTATAATGACAGATGAATGAACAAGTAGCGAATAAAAAGAACAATAGATTAATCACGTAAAATAATTAAAACCCAATACAAAACATTAAAAGTGAAAATAGGAATTTTACGTAGTTTATCCTGAGAAATCTAAGTACGCTCTTCATGTGTACTTCTCGTACTTGTTATTATTCGTCTCTCATCACATATTAAAGTAAGAGCGCCAATCCATAGAGTTACAAACAAAAGGCAACGATGAAGAAAACAAGTAAAGCCAAAACACCAAAAGTAAAAGAAAGAACGTAGTTTAATTAACTTAAGTGGCTCTCGCGTGCTACATTCAAGACGTTGGCCCCTTTCGGCAGAAGCGGCTCTCGCACTATTTTATTCTTGCCTTTTTCGCCAAGTGTACTCGCGCAAGGAGAAAGAACGAGGAGTGTCGGGAGTGGATAACCGAAGGGTACACCCTCGCAAGAGCCCTTCATTCTGCTCAGAGAGTCACCAAGTCATTATACAGCTGGTTCTTCTCTAATTCGCGAAGGCCAAGCCTCGTTACACTTCTTTAATTCTAACTTCATGCATCGCCTAATTCGCACAAACCTATCTCCGGATTGTCGACAGTGCACTTTTCGCTATTTTATTCTATCTCTTTTTTGCTTAAATATTTCTACCAAGAGTATAGAATTATGAATTATTGTTTTCATCCTTCTTTCGTGATATGTCATTTAAATATGAAATTTAAATTAGATTGGACGAAAAGAAATGTGGTTCATTCTGCCATCCACATCCGTAATGGTAGTTAAAAAATAAGAGTATATCTCTGGCTGATTATATATTAACGTTTTGCTAATTAAAAATAATAAATCAATGCTCATTTTCTACTAAATCACTATACTGATTTTTGTAAACAAGAGTAGTTAGGGTAGGAAGATATTAGACCATAGAGATACCAGATCAGACCTGACATACAAGTCACATGTGTCTCTGTACGGACCCACCTCTAGCACATCACTCAGATGATATAAAAAATCATCCTTATGTAAAATATTAAAAATAATAATTCATTATCTGTTATGTTCTTGTTGGTTTAGTATATAGACCACATAGCTAGGCCCTCCCACGCCAGTACCAGGTCTAGTTTACAACGCCACATGGCACTATTGCACTTATTTAAATAAATAATATTTAGATAAATTATATATTTAAATAACTAATATTTAAATATATATTTTTAAATGAATAATATTTTGAAATAAAAAATATATAATTTTTTGTTATTTCTGTTAACAGGTCTAGTATACTAGACCACACGGTGCTTGATGTATACACGCCTTGTCGAATTTGTACTGTATCAGATCTAGTATACTAAATCGCATGGAATTTGCTGCGTCGTCTTAATAGACCAGGCGTTGTCTTGAGAGTTACCCTGAAACCTGGATATCATCTTAGGACAGAGCGTTGGCTGTTTCTGGCTGCTCCTCTGACGCTAACAGTGCCGAACATCGGAATCATTAGAGCCGACCACCAATGCCTAATGTCGCTTTGTTTCAGGCTATTTTTTTGTATAGGGCAGAGAATAGCTATGGTGCGGAGCTGAGAGAGAAAAAGAAAGGGAGAAAGTAAAAGGTATAGCGTCACCGAAAAAGCGCATCTGTAATGCGTAACTGGCGACACTCGAAAGAGAAGACGCAAGAGTGGGAAGGTCATGCAAAAAGGCACGCACGGTTTGACTCATTAGTAGCAGCTAGTCCTTCGTGACGCGTGCGTGCCTAACTAGCCGAACAGAAAATATCCGGGTTGATTACTGACACCCGTGCGTATCACTCGCACAGAACTTCACCGGGTCAAGGCGTTTCTTTCTTTCCTTGACCCCTTTCCGTTAATGTTCATTGTAAATAGTAGTCGTAGTGCGTTCAAGCACACATGAACCGGCACGCGGCGACGATTTAATTATTGTAAGTAATAGGAATAGATTGAAATGATTGTAAACACGAAGTAGTTACATATCTATAATTAACGTTTAACCGTTGCAACTCTCTTCTTATCTCTTTTATGATCGCAGCCAGACAATTTTAGATGATGTAAAGCCCGTCTTTTAAAGAGCAAAGGTGCCTCCTAAACCCACATAAATAAATAATTCGTTCACGCTCAGCCTGAGTTCGTGAAAATTATATAATTTTTGCATTTAAAGGCTCGAGTAAGCATGATAAATTTATCGAGTTTTAGATTTTTTTAGCATATTGTAATAGATTATCTAGTATATGATTTCCCTGTTGTCCAGAGAGTTACCCATGAATCTGAATATCATCTT